ATCTTCCCCCCCCACTCCTAAACTAAACTCCCTCTTGAAACCTTGTAAACCGGTCATTTCATGCCTTTATCACCCCCTCATTTTAGGTAGCCAGTGTCTAAGTTGCCTGTGTACAGAGTGAATAGCATTGATAGTTGATGTGAAGACTCCTTCCCTCTCTGTTGGTGTTTTGAGCTACTACCTCTAGGAGTATAGGTCAAGTTTGTCAAATTGTAACAATTTACCCTCGTTTCCTTTATCAAAAATTGTTTTTTAAAATCTTCCTCTAGTCGAGTTCTGATTATCGAGCCATCGAGGCTAGATCAAATGGGTACGAATAATCCATTTTTAAGTAAAATTTTACATGAAACTTGAGAACATAAATGCTTAAGTTGAATCAGGAACAGAACCCCCCGCAAAACTAGAAGACTTTATAGACTGACCAGTCATGGCTGATGTAGTGTAATTGAAACAGTTCCAAATTTGTAAAATGCGGTGTATTGGAGTAATTATAGGAAAAGTTATAGGCTGAAGCTCTGGAAGGAGATTGGAAAAAGCCAAAGTGAGCCCTGTCAGGAGCCGGGTGCCTATCGCGTTATTGCCAGGACTTGGAGAGCAACCCTCCAAGTGGTATGGCCTCCATTTCTTTCAGCTGGGCGCCCGTTTCTGATTCCAACTCTGCCTGTCAAGAGATTTGGTTGCTATGCAACGTTGATGCTGCCTTTGTTTTCGAGGAGGGAGATTTTCTAGCATGGTGTCGACCTGTAATTTCGCCGGTTATCCTTCACACATTTTATCAATTTGGATATTTTCGTTTTGCTTCATTAGTAATGACTGAGCCAGGAAGAACCAGTTTGAAGGGCTGCTTTGAACTAAGCTATACAACTTGTTTTTATAATTCAAGGCATGTGAGTGTAAGCCTGCAGTAATGGAGCTAGGGACCAGAGAGTACGACGATTCTTCTCTCTAGTTAGAGCTCAAACCCTATGCTAGGCAAGCAGGTAGTGGTTTTTCAGTTGTTGAATTGCCTAACTGGGCATGTTGTTGGGAAAATCAATTCTGTCTATACATTTTTATTAATATGTTCTAATAGTGAATAAGAAAGACTATAGAAGAATTGATGCTTTTGAGTTATGGTGTTGGCGGAGAATATTGAAAGTGCCAATGGCTGCCAAAAGAACCAGCAGATCCGTTTTGGAAGAAATGCAGCCAGAGTGCTCCAGGATGGCCAAATTGTGTCTTTCATACTTTGGACATATTGTCAGGAGATACCAGTCGCTGGAGAAGGACATCATGTTTGGTTAAGGTGGAGGGTCAGAGAAAAAAAAGGAAGACCCCTAGCAAGATGAATTGGCCAAGTGGCATCATCGATGGACTCAAGCGTGGCAACAGCAGTGAGGTTGGCCCAGGATCGGGCAGTGTTTCATTCTGCTGTGCATAAGGTCGCTATGGGTCGGTACCAACTCGATGGCACCTAACAACAACAATAGTGACTCAATGCCACTTAATAGTGACACGTAAGAGCCCTGGTGGTACAGTGGTTAAGCGCTTAGCTTGCTAACAGAAAGGTCGGCATTTTGTATGCACCAGACTCAGCAGAAATGTGTAGCCTTGGAAACTCTACAGAACCATTCTATCTTGTCTTGTATGGTTGCTGAGTCAGAACCAATGGCAGTGAGTTTGTTTGTTCATATTGACGCAGGGAGCCCTGGTGGCACAGTGGTTAAGCACTTGGCTGCTCACTCAAAGACTGGTGGTTTGAATCCATCTAGTGGCTCTGTGGTGAAAGACTTAGCAGTCTGTTTCCATGGAGACTGCAGCCTAGGAAACCCCAGGGCTGCTCAACTGGGTCACATGAGGTTGCTATGAGTTGAAAACCAACTCAGTGACCCCCAACAGTAACACTGATGTGGGTCACTGAGTTAGTTGGAATCAACTCCAAGGCACTGGGAACGGTCTTGCTCCGAGCACTGTTCAGGGACAGAGATTAGAAGAGGCGGAGCTTTGTGGTCCAGCTCTGGAACCTGATGTCTGCAGAAGAAGATTTAGGCAAATAGGATTTATGGGGACTACTGAGATGGGAAATGAGGATTCGTAAGTTTGTTCTTCATAAAACTCAGGAGTCCTGGTATAGCGCTGTAGGATAAGCACTCAACTGCATGGTTGGTTTGAACCACAAGGTCAACAATTCAAACTCACCAGCCACTCCTCGGAAACCCTATACAGGATCACTAGGAGTTGGAACCAACTCCAAAGGGCTTATGCAAAGTTGTATGTGGGGTGTTGTCTTGGCAGTGATTCATGTTCAGAAAGAGGCTAGTCCCGTAGATGTGATCAACAGCACAAGACGCCCCCACACACAGATGTGACAAAAGAACAGGTTTCATCTGGAAAAACAAATTCGTTTTATTGTTCAGTTTACTTCATCAGACTGAAGTAACAAATTTGGCACACACAGAAAGGAAACCGATCTCAGAAATAACTACAGAAAATGCCTCCAGCCAGGAAGATGGAAGTTCATAGAAGCTGCAGTAAAAATAAGTTCAAATGTTATGTTGTCATGAGTCATGTGACTAGAGCTCCCTTTTCCTCTAAGCTATTTTCCCACCTGTCAGGGTCTGGGATGAAGATTTCTCATGTTAGTATTGTAGCATTCGGAGCCTTTTATCACTGATGTGCCCCTGTGGCCATGTAAGAGACTGCTGGTTTAGGCTAAAGAGAGAAGGCCACGGTGGTTGACATTTTTTGAGGACTTGGTCTTGGCTCAGTAGATTCCTCAGATTGGGCAGCCCAGGCCCCTTGGGCAGGCTAGTGACAGTTGTTAACACAGGGATGGGGAAGGACCCAAGGGTGTGAGGAGGTCAGTGAATGTAGAACTCTGCATTTCTGATTGTAATTTTTCTACCCAGGTGGTTTTAAACCACATTCTCCAGCTGGGCAATTCTTAGCCTGTCTGAATGGAAAAGGCTCTGTCCGAACCTTGGTTCACTCTGCATTCCTTGAGCTGTCTCCTTCCTTCCAAGAAAGGGGGACAGCCTCTCCACAGGGGTTCCTCTGACCCCATTCCAACATGTCTTTGGGACCCTTGTCTTTCTGGGTATTGGCTGGTCTCTTCCGTGGCAAAATGTAAATTCTTCTAGGGCTCTGCTTTCCCGTGTCCAAAATGCTCCGTGTAGTTAGAGCAGACTCTGGAAACAGGTGACCAAGGCGTTCCCTCTCCTGACTGACAGGCTGGGGGCAAGCGTGATGGCTGATAAGCTCTGGGAATAAGAGGAGACTCCTGGGCATGTTCCCATGTCCATTTGAGAGTGACAGGCTTTATAAGAGATTATCCTAAATTCCTTCCTGGTCCCCAGCAGGATGAGATGACTAACTACGGCACTGATGACCACAACTTTCCCATATGTAATCTCCCCAATCCTAGTTTAGAATTACAAAGTGATTGTGTTTAACCTACGGCTCCTCAAAAGTAACGTGCCAGGCACATCGCTTAGCTTTAGGCCGCTTCCGCTTACATCCTCACACCACCTTTATCACTGAACATGCATTTTCCCTCCTGACTGGAAAGTTGGTATCTCCCCACTCACCCACTTGTGCCCACTGGCAGCCGCTTTATGAAATGGAAGCAAAGGGAAGCCACTAAGAGCCCCGCTTGTTTCCAGAAAGGGAGAAAGAACAAATTCTGCCATCTGCTCACTGGCTTGTAGAGCAAGAAGTGGACTCCCAGCCGTGTGAGGTTCTGATCCTTGAGTGGTGTTTATAAGACGTAAGGTGCAGGGATTCTCCATGGCATGGTACATGCTCCCCACTGTACCCTTGATGGGGCCAAGGCCAACATCAATGGTACCACAATCCTTCAGGGCTGTCTTCAGTCCACAATGCTGGCCTTTGCCCTCTCTGCTTCCGAAACTTGGAAATGGCTTTTCCCAGGAGCCTGAGGCATACACTTAGCTTGGGCAAGAAGCTGAGCTCCCAGGTCTGGTGTAGTACCAGGCCTCAAAGCTCTAGGCACTGATGCTTCCTTTCCAAGTCCTGCTGCTCTGGGGGCTTCCAGCTTGTGGGCTCCTCTGAGATATTTGCAAGGAAGGGTGGAGAAGGCACTGAGAAGTGGACCAGCGAGACGAGCCCGGCCTTAGCTGGGTGGGATTTGAGAGCTAGTCCCTCCCTGACTCTTCTAGACTCAGACACCACCTGCTCACCAACCATCTGTATCTGTCCAGCTGGAAAAAGGAAATCTCCCAATGCCCCAACCCCAGTGCTGAGCTCCTTTCCTTTCCTCCTAGCTGGTTAGGATGCCTGCACCTGCCCCTCTTTGGGTCTTAAGTCTGTGCCTAGAAGATATAGGGAAGGGGTATGAGAACCTCTGTCTTCCTAAGCCCACCCCCAAATTACAATTATAGTGGCATTGTCCCCCAAGCTCCCCTCTGATTTGGCTCCAAAGGTTCCTCTTCCAGATGTGGATGTTGTTATTGGTGAAGATAAGCATCTAGCCAGAGCTGCCCCGACTCCTTCAGTGAGCTGTGGACGAAGAATAAGAGACCATGGGGCTGAGCCCCAGAGCCAACCCACCCACCAGTCAGAGACACAGGCTGACCGGCATCCATGACTTAAGGCCCTGACCATTTGAAGGCTTCCCTTCTGAGAAGGGTGCCCTGCACAGCAGCACTGAGGCGAATTTCAGCGTAATCATCATGCCTGGGCCACGGGTGACCGCCATTCTAGAGGGCAGGGACACCTTCCCATTGTTGCCCCGCCCACATCCACCTCCTTTCCTCCCTGCCAGCGGCCCCCCAGGCTCAGATACTCACTGGACAATGTCAGCCAAGGCTGAGAGCAGAGGCTTGGACTGGTAGGGTATGCCATGCTTGGCGCACAGGGACCGCACCAGGGGGGCCACTTTGTGGTAATTGTGTCGCGGCATCCTGGGGAAAAGGCTTCAGGGAGAAGAAGGGAGAGTCAGTGGCTCTTTCCCTTCTCTTCCCAGCACCCCTCACACTGAGACCCAGCTTCCCGGGTCTCCCCACTCACTGGTGCTCTATCTGGAAGTTGAGATGGCCGCTGAACCAATCGTTGAAGAATGACTTGTGGACGTTGCACGTTGCCTGGAGCTGAAGAGAAAGGTCAGCTGAGAGGCCGTCTAATTATCAGGTGGAAGGTCAGCCAGGGATAGGTGGAGGAGATGTGAGTATGTATCCCACCCCCCACATCCGGTCAGTCCCTTCATGCGGGGGGGTGGGGTGGGGCAGGAAAGAACCCTCAAGCCAATGAAGCAATGCTGCTTGGGAATTTTCTGCTTCTGTGACTGCCCCCTCCCCGTTTCTCACTAGGTGTATTGTGACCCTGCCCTACCTGGGTGGAGACCCAGTCCCTGTTCCGGTCATGGTCAATGTGCATAGGGATGTGGTTCATCTGAGTCACCCACACAAACCAGTTGCTTTCCAGGAACCTGGATAGGGTACACAGAAGGAGTTCGCTGCTTAATGTCCACGATATGTTCTGTGAAATAGGATGCTATACGATTTAGACATTGTGCAAACACCTTGTGTTCCATGGGTGTGGGTGTGAGATGCCTCAGGTGAGTGCTAGGCCAATGGCCCAGATAGCTACTGCTGCAGATGCCTCGGGTAAGTCCAGGTTCCACCTGGCTGTCACTGCCTTCCCTGCTAAATTAGCTGTAGGGAAGGCCAGCTCACCCATAAGTACCTGCCTAGGGAGGGGGCGGTACCAGCCAAGGGGGTGAGGGTGACTGAGTCAGGGTTGGGGTATCCGGGATGAATACCTTTCCATCAGCACCCAATGGGACCACACTGGGCAAAACGCTGCTGGGACTAGACCCTCCAAGTAGTGGAGTTGAGGGGCACTGGGGTTGGGGGTTTGGGTCTGGGTCTCCATTGCTGTGGACTAGGTGGGTTCTGGGCTTCACACGGCAGCCAAGAAATAGGGCTCTGGTCTGGGGTCTTGGCACTGACACCTGGACATTCCTGTCCACGGACATGTATATGGTAGGATGTTGCCCTAATGGACATTAAGCAGCACACAGCCACACATGGCAAGAGTTCCCACACCCCCTCAGGTAACTGCACTGGTCTATCTTCATTAGCCAATACCAGAAACAACCCCTGCTACCCACAGTTCCAGCATAGTCCCAGGTCCAACTGGTTCCTCCCACACATCTGGTTTGCCTTCAATCCCCACTCCGCCATCAAACCCTACCTGACCACAAAGAAGAGGCCCAGCAAGCCTTTCAGCCCCAACAGTGGCCCGTAAGTGAGGGCGAAGCGGATGTAGAAGGTGATCATCCAGGCGAAGTCCTGCAGGGAGGGAGACAGAGTACCGGGTAGCCAGCGTGCTCCCAGGAGGGAAGCAGAGTACCGGGTAGCCAGCATGCTCCCAGGCACCCAGCTGTCCCTCACAACTGCTCAACTCCAGTTGCCCATTCCTGGTGCTAAAGTCCCAGCCCTCCTTGTCTGCTGCTGTCTGAGGTGTGCAGGCCTGCCAGGTCTCCCTGTCCCCAGCTCTATTCCAACTAACTCAGCCCTTCACCATGCTGCTCAGTGAGACATCCAGTCCATGGCTCTGGCCGTGCCAGCACCTTGAACAAATCTCCAATAGTGGGTCTGTGTACTGAGCCAAGTGCCATACTCTCCTGATATGTCTGCTGGTCAAACTCATCCGTACGGTCCAGCTTCTCTGGGTGGCATCCAGCTCCCCATGCCTGCCCCTCGCTCTGTCTGCTGGTCTCCCAGTGACTTTTCTGATTCAGCCTCTTCCCAGCCAGATGCAGTCGGGCCCTTTGTGAACCCTCAGAACCTGCTGCCTGTACCCCTTCTCTGGTACCAACCACATTCTACTTTGAAAGTTCAAGAACCTCAGGAGATACCGACTGAAGGAAACCAGGCACTGGGCCCGAATCACTGGGTCCCCACCTGGAAATGAGCAGCCCTAGCTGGCTCTTACTGAGTTGAGATGGGGTGGGATTGGGTGGGGTTGCTGGCTTTGTTGTTTTGCTTTACAATTAGGTGGGACCTCCCTGGACAGTTCCCCTTTCCCTTCTGGCAGGGCTCTGGAGACAAAGGACATGGGGCTTTTATGCCAGGGATACTCACCACCCATTTCTTCCGCTTGACAATAAAATAGAAAATATACCACTGGAAGTAGAGAGGCAGCAAAGCTGGGGGCCCAACTGGGGAAGAAAAGGAGACAGGGAAGTGTGAGCTGCCTGAGGGTCTGCTAGGAGCTGGAGAGATGGCCCACCTAGAGCTGCCTCACCATCCCCTCCAGTGGCCTTAATGTCCCCCCACACCCCACTGCCAGGCCAGGCCCCTAAGCGCAGGATGGTAGGCACTGAGGGTGGGGAGGAATGCAAGCCTGGAGAGGCAAGGTGGGCAGGTGAACTAGGGGACACTGGTGGAAAGGAGAGCACGGGCCTGTCCCACGGTCAGTCCCTTCATGTGGGGACAGGAAAAAAGTCACTCCTAAGACAGGGCCGGGCAGAGTGTGGGAGGGAGGGGCAATCTTCCCACTTGAGGGGCAGCGGGGAAAAACAGCAGTAGAGAGCTGGCCCTTTCCCCACCTGACTGCCTGCCAGGGGTCTTCCCACTGTCCCTGCAGCCCCCTCTTCTGAGTCAGCAGGGAAGTGCACATCTGCCAACTGTTCCCAGACCAACTCAGGAGATGGGCTTGGACCACCTGGACCTGAAGCCCTACAGGCAGGCTGCGGGAAAGGGTGCAAGGGTATCTTCTGAAAGACAACTGGGAACTGAAGATGCAGATCCCATCCTGCGTACGTTCCCATGTGTGTTCCTCCTCTGATGCCATCTATAAGCCCCTTCATTGCAGTGCTCCCCCGCCTCCCACTTCCTTGGTTCTGATGTGCCACTCACCCTAAGTCTGTTCTTCCCACATCTCTGCTCCACACATCTACCCACCCATGTTTCTCCATTGGGGGTGGTTGGAGGAAAAATTCAACCAAATTAAAACAGGATCAGTGGACTCTCTCTCTCCCTTTGCAAGGGTCTCTGGAATTTCAAAGGAGTTTTTAAACTCAAGTTGTCAGTATGATGGAATAAACTCTTAAAGCAGGAAGACAACCAAAGAAAGGTCGTCAACAGCTGTTCCCTGATCGGGTATAAGGGTTGGGCCATTAACTTCAAGGCTGGCAGTTCAAACCCACTAGCCCGCTGCAAGAGAAAGATGAGGCCATCTGCTTCCAGAAAGATTTTGTTTCGGATACCCTGTGGTCAGTTCTACTTTGACAGGATGACCAGGGGTTGGAACTGAATTGGCATCAGTGGGATTTTTTTGGTTTGGGTAGGATCCAATCCTCCCATCAGTACCTGCTGCTCTACTGCCCAGGTGTGAGGTTTAATCAGGAGGGTCCCACCTGATGACTCCATTTCTCTGTGACCACTAGGGAAGCATTAGAGGAACTTGCTTGACCTGAGCTCAGATGACCATTCCCCAAACATTGGCTCAATGGTGGTGACAAATGCTCCCACGCAGGGAGGCGGGTTGGGGAGGACTGCTTCCTTCAATTGCTTCACTTAAACCCATAACTCCTTGGGCTGAGGACACTCACTCAGAAAGAAGTACTTGTGTTGGTGGTTGTACGGCATGTACTTCTTCTTCTGTTTCCCAAGCTGTGAAGAAAAGCAAACACAGCGGCATGCTGGGCGCCGCTGTCACCAACAGAGTGTTCCCAAGACCACGGCCTTCCACGGGAGATGTCAACTGGAAGGCTCTGCATGTGGGGTGTGCAGCTCTGCACCACCCTGGTCTATGCCCACATCGGGCAGTGCAACGGAATCGACAGGCTCTGTATGTTCAGCCAGAGACCTTGTCCCGAGATGCCAGGCCCCACCTTCTTCCCCCTCCCGTTATGGACTGATTGGCATCTGCCCCCAAACACGCGCCAACTTGACAAGGTCATAACTATCAGTATTATGGGATTATCCGCCATTCTGGGGCTTGATGGAATTATCCTGTTTTGTGAATTCTAACCTCTCATCTAATCTGAAGGAGCTCTGATAGCGTAGCGGTTACAAATTGGGCTGCTAACCTCAAGGTCAGGAGTTCGAAACTACCAGCTGTACAGGGTCTCGCTCTGTGTTGGAACCCATTTGACAGCACAGAACAGTAGCAAGCTGTGAGAACACACTGCTGTTTGCTAAAGCCCTCCCTCCCCTTAGGCGATTTTTGTTACAGCAGCACTCCAGAACAGACCCATTCCTTCCTTGCACCTGGTTGTTTTTTGAAATCAGAGTCTCCAGAGATCTATTTATACCCTTAACCCAGCTAACTATTCCCTCCACATCCAGCCCCAGGCTGAACTTTTGTTTGTTTCTCTCTTGACTTCAACAAGAGTTTTCATTCCTTCAAAGCTCAGCAAAGTTTGGCAAATGTGTGCGCAAAGGAAAACAAGAAAACCCCAGCAATGTTCAGTCCTGGCAAGCTTGATTCCAGTGGGAGGTGGTTATTTTGTAAACCTGGCTGCCAAGGATACAGGTTGGGGCAGCCAGGCCAACAAATTAGCCCCAAGCCTTGTGGGTGAGGAACTCTAGCTTGAGCTCCTAGAAGTGGTGTCAGAACCTGCAGTCTGTCAGAGTTCTTTCAGCAACTCCCATGCCAATTAGTTCTGGCAGCCTGTTGACCTCCAGGACACGGAGCAAAAGGCAAGGAAGGGCTTGTCCCTCCATCCAAACAATGTGTTGACAGGTGATTTATGGAGTTTATTCTGTGCAAGGCACACCTGTGACACGAAGCCTCCTTTCTACCAGAACAGATTCACTCAAGTACTTACTGAGCACCTATTACAGGCCAGGTACAGTTTGTTTCAGGTGCTAAGGATACAAGGTGAGCAATGCCGTGTCCCTACCCTCACGGGGCTAATAATCTGAGAGAAAGCTGATGATAAATGTGTGAGCAATTTAAGGTCATTGTAGATTGTTGTTGCTGTTATGAGCTGTTGAGTAGGTTCTGACTCAGCGATCCTGTAAAGGATTTCCAAGGAGAGCTGGTGTGTTTGAACCAACAACCTTGTAATTAGCAGTCCAGTGCTTATCCTACAGTACCAACTGCAGATTAAAAACAAGAATCTGTTTTGGCTAATCAGATATGGCTTCCCTGAGATGCAACAAGGAAATCTGGTGGCGCAGGAGTAAGTGCTGGATTTTTAACTACCAGGTCAGTGGTTCAAACATGCCAGCCACTCTGCGGGGGGGAAATGAGGCTGTCTGCTTCCGTAAAGACTTACAGTCTTGGAAATCCCAAGGAGCAAGTCTACTGTGTCCTATCGGGTAACTAGAAGTTAGAATTGGCTGGGCTTGAGGCATTGACATCTAAACTGAGGCCTAAGTGATAAGGAGCCAGCAATGCAAAGATTCTAAGGAAAAGCATTAAAGCAGAGGGAACAGTCAGTGTGAAAGACTCTGGGGCTCTTCATGGGACAGGAAAGAGGCCAGTGTAGCTGAGAAGAGTCACAAGTAGGGGAGAATGGGAGAGTGATTGAAAAGTCAGAAGACTTGGGAGGGGCCAGTCAGGTAGAGCTTCAGAAAGGCCTGGCAAAGCCAATGGAAGGAGTTTGGATTTTATTCCAGTGGCGAAAGGAAGCCATCAAGGACTTTCCACGGGGGTGTGGCACGAGCCACTTTGTGATGGAGCCCTTTTGTGCTTTCGTTTCAGACCTCTCTGTCTGGAAGTAGAAGGAGTTGCAGGATACAGGTCTGACTACAGGGAGACCAGTGAGGAGGCCGGACCAACAAGAGATGCCTGGGAATGGGGGAGGAGGGAAGCAGTAGAGATGGAGAAGTGGATGGATTGGGGATGTGCTTCGGAGACCGGGTTAGCAAGGTTTGCTGAGGAACTGACTGTCAGGATGATGTTCTCGGCAGCCGGAGAGAGGGGAAAACTGGAGGGGGAGCAGCCATCTAGTTGAGTTAGGGTGGGTAGGATCAAACCCTGGCTTCCTGCTTTGGAACTATCATGGAATGGAGTTCATTGGTACCTTGCTGAATAAAATCACATGTCCCCTCCTAATAACTTGGCCCCAATGACTGTGTCTAGACCCTCGGAGGCCAGAAGGATTTTACTAAGGGTAAAGTGATCCTTCAAGTCCTCCTTCTTCAGAAGAGTCAGGAGGAGCCAAGGTAACCGCCACTGGGCTGGCAAGAACATCCAGGACGCTGACCAGGACTGACCAAGTTCCAAGTGGCCTGGCCAGGCTTTTACTAATACGTGCACTACCGTAGCCTCTGCCTGTAGAGACTTTCATAGCTAGCACGCACACATCAGGGACTTGGGGTCCCAGACCTCTTCATTCTCTACTGTTGATGTCTGCAGATAGGTGTTTCCTGAGAATCCCAGGAAGCAATGCAGGCAGTGCTACCAGAACCTTCTCTTCCACTCCGCCTTCCTGCCTTCCCCCTAACCTTCTACAACACAAGTGCCGCTAAGGCCCTTGTGCTACCTCCCAGTGCGTAATCCTCCCTTGCCCCCAACGTAGTCACCTGAGTCACACACTGTGGACCCTATACAGTGCTGATGATATTATCATGGAATTCAGTCCACACTTAGCAGATGAGAGAATTCGAACGTTGTAGGGGGGTGCGGGTGGGAGTGGCGTATAGCCTCATACTGTGAGCATCTCCCGTCAGGACAGCTGGTCCTGCCAAACCCCTTTTCAGAGTTCTTAAAGCTGGAGGGTAGAAAAGAGCGAGACGACCTTCAATTCAGGAGCATCTGAGGATGCTTTACGTCCTGGCATGCTGAACTTTCATAGAGGTAGGGGAAGGGGGCCTGGCAGAACTAGAGCCCGGAGCCTCGGGACAAAGAGTTTCGTAAGAACTTTTCAAAGAACTCTGCTGGCCACTCAAACTCTACTGCTTATACTCTGCCTGCAGGGAAGGACTTGGTATGGGCCTTTGTAACTCCCGTCAGGTGAATGGGTGGGACCATGCAGAGATGGCATATGTGGTCCATTAATGTGGAGTCCTGATGTGGCACTGTGGGTTAATGCGCCAGACTGCAAAGACCTTTGAACTGCAAGGTCGGTGGTTCAAGCTCACCAGCTGCTCCTCGGAAACCCTATACAGGGTCACTATGGGTCGGAACCGACTGGATGGCCCTTAACAAAACAACAAGGGGTGTGGCGCTGTGGGATAATGCACTAGACTGCAAAGTCGGTTTGAACCACAAGGTCGGTGGTTCAAATTCAGCAGCCACTCCTCAGAAACCTAATATTATCGGTTGGAACAGACTCGACGGCACTTAACAACAAAAATGAGGAGTCCTAGTGTGGCGCTGTGGGTTAGTGCGCTAGACTGCAAGGTTGTTTTAAACTGTAAGGTCGGCAGTTCAAGCACACCAGTCACTCCTTGGAAACCCTATACAGCGTTACTATGGGTCAGAACAGACTCGATAGCACTTAACAACAACAAAGCAGTGGTTACTAGTCAGGCTGCTAACCTCAAGGTCAGCAGTTCAGAACTACCAGTCATTCCGCGGGAGAAAGATGAAGTTTTCTCTCCCATAAAGATTTACAGCGTTGGAAACTCTATGCAGGGTCACTATGGGCCAGAACTGACTCCACCGCTCACCACCACCACCAAAGGAACTGGATACCATGCTAATGTAAATAAGGAGCCTGGAACCCTTGTGGGGTAGGACCACGTTCATAAGGTATACAGAATTCTCATGGGATTGGCTAGTTTTGCCATCCTGTTGTTAAGTGCTGTTAAATCATTTCAACCCATAACAACCCTGTATTGGGTTTCCAAGGAGCATTTGGTGAGCCTGAACCGCCAACCTTGCAGTTCAAACGGCTTTGCAGTCTGGCGCATTAACACACAGCGCCCCACCAGGACTCAATGAGCCATCCCAGCAGGAAGGGGACTCTTACTACCACCAAGATAAAAGAGCCAGGGGTGGGGTGTGGCCTTAGAATTCCTGTGCTGAACTTTCTCTATTCAGGAGACAGAGATTTGTGATACCAGAGATGGCAGAAAGATGGTAGGGACAACAGAGAAACGGTGGCAGGAGAACCAGATTGGCAGGAGATGGATAATGTGGTGAGCTTCCCAACCCACAAAGCAAACTGAGTGCCTCAGGACAGGAAGCTAGCTGCTGAAGTGGGTTGCCTCCCAGGTACTTAATCAAGGGAGCTAAGTTTTATCCACCTACGGAGTCACAGCTGAGCACATTCGCATTGAGGTTTACTGGTGGAATTGGACGCCTCTGGGCATTTATTGGTAGAGCTAAAAAAGCTTTATAATAGTTGCCAGAGCAGGGCAGAGGCTAAGGAGCTATATAGCTGAGAGGTCAGGGACCAGAGAGGCAGGCCTACAGGCATGGCTGAAGAGGCTGTCCAGACCTCAGAACTATATCCTGACATTTGACAATTGTAACCTGTCAATTCCCTAATAAACCCACAATGGTGAGTACTGTCTCTAAGTTGTGTGACCACAGCAGAGAAGTAGAGAGCAGGAGGATCAATGTCAGAAGTGGTAAAGAAAGAGTCAAAGTGGAGGTTTGTCGGACCTCCACCTCCCAGGAATCGGCCTTGGGCTGATGTTGACTTTGATTCTCCTTCCCCCTTGTGAAGTCAGAGGCCACCCCCACCTCAGGTTTACTTGCTGCCCTGAAGATGCTTCAGACCTTCACCCCCAGGCAATCTTCTTTCAGCAGCTGCTTTACGACTTTTGGCTCATAACCTCAGATGACAACTCAAACCCTACACCAACCACCTTGAAAGTCAGGCTAGGATCAGAAGGTGGCGGGAAGAATTGCTCAGTTGTAGGCACTAGGCTAAATACAGGGCATCAGAGAAAAGCAAGACAGACCAGCCCCTGAGGGAGAAGACCCTGAAGTAACAAGATATCAAATGTGAGAAAGAGGAAGAAAAAGTGCTAGGGGGTCACCACGTAGGGGAAAGATGTCAAAAAAACCCCAGCAGCCCTGAGGAAGTGACATCTGTCACCTTCAGGGATGAGTAGGACTTTGCACTGTAATCTGGTTGTCTTTTGGATCCTTGGCATCATGTGGTACTATTTATTACCAGTAACTATTTGCTGCCATGAATGGACCAGGGAGACCATGGGACTTCCCTGGGCAGCCCTGGCTTACCTCCTCCCAGAACTTGTAAACAACATGGTCCCTGTCAATCTCACCCACACTGACAATGTTGGAAGCTGTTGTTGTTGTGAAGTGCCGTCAAGTCGGTTCTGACTCATAGCAACCCTGTATAAGCTTTCAGAGGAGCTGCTGGTGAGTTTGAACCACTGACCTTGTGTTTCAAATTGACCAGATGGTCAAATGCTTACCCCACGGTGCCATACCCAAAGGCCTGACTGTTGACTGACTTCCATTTCCCCAAGACGTTTCCAGACACCTCACCTCCACAGAGAGGACCTTCCCCAAGGCAAACAAGAAGGGATGCATGTTGACGTCTGGGTCTTTGCGGAAGCAGTTGGGTTTGGCGTGGTGCTGAAAGTGCATGTGGTTCCACCAGCTGGCAGGAGCCCCCTGCAGCAATGCAGTGACATAGATATGAAAACCTAGACTGTTCCCCACCACAGCCCTCGCCCCCAACAAGGCAGCCATTCCCACTCATACTGACCTTCATGTGGCCAATAGTAAAATAATGTAATAGATGGTTCCAAGTAGAAGTGCTGAAGACAGACAGATGTCCAAAGTCATGCTGCAGCCAGCCAGCCTGGACCTACAAGAGAAAGGCGAGTACAGAGCCCAGCTCACCAGCCCAGTGTTCCGCTCACTGACCTCAGCAGCTCCTTCAGCCTCCCTCTCCCATCATCCACCCGGGCCTATGAAGGCCATGGCTCCAAACTGAGCGCATGGAGAAAGCAGTCCCAGAACCTGCTTCTAAGTGTGCCTCTGCCATTAATTAATGTGAGGAGCTGGGGCTAATCACTCTCCCTGCTCTATCATTCAGTTTCCCCAGCTCTTTGATTCTGTAACTTTGGTGGACGGGACAGCCAGAATATAGAAGAGGACAGAGTGACCATCACAGAAATGCAGAAGACTTGACAAATGGTTTCTGACAGTCAGGGGCTAGGGCTCAACCGCTTTGAGAATGTTAGGCAATGTCGGTGGTAGGGAGAAAGTGAAGCTTTTCAGAGAAACTGGACTCTTGGTTCTTGGCTCAGTTAGGGTGTGGCACAAAGTTTCAGGAGACAGGAACTTCTGGAAGTACCTCCGGAGAGGCAGCGAGAGAAACTAAGATGTGCACAGAGCTAATGGACAGCTATCAGCCTCAGCAGACAATGGAATGCATGCACTTTTTCTGGTCCATCTCGCCATCCTATCCTCAGCTCTTCCCCGGTCAGTGGGCATGGCTCCCTGGCCTTCTGAAGGGGCACACACAGCGCTCCCCGGGGCTCTCACCTGCGCCACACTGAGGAGCACTGCACAGAGAAGGAAAGGCAAAAAGGACGTTCCAAAGAACCAAAGAGTGAGCCAGGCAGCAACATCGATCAGCAAGATGTGCAGCAGACATAGCAGGAAGAAAGTATGGTTGGCCTTCATGAGCCCCATCTGCTCCACCGAGGTCCGAAGCTCCCGGAAGTCATCTGTCAGCTCCTTCTGTGGAAGAGAAAGGAGGGAATGAACCAGTCTTCTTCCCAGCTGCAACCCTCAGGCCCACATTGTTGAACATCTCAGCCTCCGTTTTCTCATCTACAAACGTGTGAGGATTATATGACGTTATGCTTGGCATAAGACTCCTGGTGTGGCGCTGTAGGCTAAGCACTGGACTGCTAACTAAAAGGCTGGCAGATAAAACCTAACAGCTGTTGCTTGGAAACCCTATACAGAGTCGCTATGAGTCGGAACCGACTCAACCACACTTAACAACAACAGGCTTGGCACACAGCACATAGGCCTCGCGCTGGTGATTATAACGATGGTAGAAGTTATGGTGGTGGCCTTAGGAGGTGCTCCCTTAGGCCCATGACTATGCAGAAGAAGCGGAAGTTCAAGACACCCAGTGACCCCCATCTACAAATTCCTTCTATGCCCTGCCCCTCAACAACCACAGGATCTCCAAATAGCAAACAGGTTCTCACATTTTTGGTGGGCTCAAAGCTGGGCTGCTCCGGAGATAGCTCTCCAATCAGGAGAGAGTTCATATACTTACTCACAAGGCTCTTGTTGATGTGGAATGCCACAAAGGGGTCCTGTCAGGGAGAAAAAGTAGAAAGGTGAGGAAGCCAGCCCCATCCCCTGGATTCCTGGTGGGCTCACATCAAAGACCATCTTCCTGATTTATTAGCCCGTCCTGTGTCCAGTATCTGCTGCACAAGACTTCTTTAAAATGCTGAAGAGCAAAGATGTCCGTTTTAGGACTAAAGTGCTCTTGAAAGTTGGATAATGAATAAAGAATGCCGTAGAAGAATTGACACTTTTGAGTTATGGTGTTGGAGGGAATACTGAAAGTACCATGGTGGTGGTGTGCCGTAGAGTCGGTTCTGACTCATAGCGACCCTGTACAAGGTTTCTGAGGCTGTAAATCTTTACAGGAGCAGAAAGCCTCATCTTTCTCCTGCGGAACAGCTGGTAGTTTTGAATTGCTGACCCTGAGGTTAGCAGCCCGATTAGTAACCACTATGCTACCAGAGCTCCTTGAAAGTACCATGGACTACCAAAAAAAAAACACCCCAAATAGATCTGTGTTGGAAGAAGTACAGTCAGAGTGCTTCTTGGAAGCCAGGATGGCCAGTCTTCATCTCTCATACTTCAGACATATTGTCAGAAGGGACCAGTCACTGGAGAAGGAAATCATGGTTGGTAAAGTGAAGGGTTAGAGAAAAACAGGAAGATCCCCAGTGAGATGGATTGGCACAGTGGCAGCATCAATGGGCTTAAGCATAGAAATGATTGTGAGGTTGGTCCAGGACCGGGCAGTGTTTCGTACTGTTGTGCCAACTCCATAGCACCTAACAGCAACCTCTGTCCAATAAGGAGGTAGCGTAGTGGTTACGAATTGGGCTGCGAACCGCAAGGTCTGCAGTTCGAAACTACCAGCTATTAGGCGGGAGAAAGATGAGGCTTTCTGCTCCCATAAAGATTTACAGGGTTTCCTTCTTGGAAACCCTGTACAAGGTCGCTATGAGTTGGAACCGATTCCACGGCACATAACAACAACAACTAAATGCAGAGACCCACTACTTCCAGTCACCTCCCCCCCACCCTTTGAGGGTGCTCAGAACCTTTCCCAGGTATCCACACTTCAAGATCACCCAAAAAGACCTACCCGGAATGGCCTTAAGGGGTCCTGGTGGTGCTGTGTGTTAACCACAAGGTCGGTGGTTCAAACCCACCAGCCACTTCAAGGGAGACAGATGAGGCTGTCTGCTACCGCCAAGCTTTACAGTCTCAGAAACCCTAAGGCACAGTTCTACTCTGACCTGTTCTTGTGAAGTGCCTTCAAGTCGATTCTGACCCATAGCGACCCTGTACAGGGTTTCCGAGGAGCGGCTGGTGAGCTTGAACTACCGACCTTGAAGTTCAAACGGCTTTGCAGTCTGGCGCATTAACCAGGACTCCGATATATAGGGTCATTAAATTAGAATCCACTCCCTGGCAGTGGTTTGTGTGTGTGTGTGTTCTGTTTTGTTTTTGGTTTCGGGTTGGCCTTTCTCAGGAGTGTGCTTAGGGAAAACTTTTGCAGATGAATGAGTCTACCTAAGGAAGATTTAGAGTTAGAAAACCAAAAGGGAAGAACACAGTCAGCATTTCTCAAGCTGGGGGAACTGAAGAAAAAATTCAAGCCTCAACTTTTGTTATTGAAAGATTCTCTGGGCAAACTGTTGAATGATGCAGAATGCATCAAGAAAAGATGGAAGGAATACACAGAGTCATTGT